AGTGAGACTATTCATGTTGGTAGGGGTCGACAGTTTTACACGGAGCTGTACTCGTACATTATGAAGATTTGAGACCCGGTAAGGTGGAATCAGGCGTTCATCAATTGTTGGGCATTTTGAGATCTTGGTATTATCTTAAAGCTTGTTCATTTGCCTTGTTTTTTGAAGAAAAAAGTATCCGTTGTTTCAGGAACAGAAGCTGAGATATTCGAGATTGAAGAAGGTGGGGATCGCTTGGCAATTGTAATACAAATAGCGAGAAATGGCCGCCAAAATTTGTGACTTTCAAAGCGTGAGAGTCTTTGGAAACAGCGAATTTACTTTTTTGTGCCTTCAATCAACGTTTTTCAGTAAAATTCATACATGAATGTGTATTTAAATGGATATAAAAGGTGTCGAGCAAAAAAAAAATTTTGATTCTAAAAAATGTGCAGAGTGGCTAGAAAAATGCCGGTTTCTTTGATTTTATTATTTCGACGAGCGCCTGATTTCGCTAGGATGCCTCACATTTATCCACACTTCCATGAGAATTTCATCCAAAAATACTTTTTTGACTGTAAACTGTTCTTTTAAAATAATTCTAAAATCGTATACGAACTTCTATGCATTTGATTCCAAGATGATTATTTCTTCTTTTTCTTCTTAAAAAATCACTTTCATTTAAATTAAATACCGTAGATTAGAGGCGTTACTAGAGAGTAACATGCAAAGAACAGAAGAAGCTGAGATTAGGACGATAAATTGTTGACAGGAAAGAAGGCGCAAACCGCCTCATCACACTCGTCAACCACCGACCTTACAATGTTTGAAGCAGTGGGACTAACAACATAATGTTATAACTTCGTTGTTTTAATAAGTGTTCTCATAGAACTGTGGATATCACTAATGTGTATTGCAAGTGCCGTGAAACTGTTTCTAAAACTAAAACATTTCACTCGTCTTTTACAAAGCGCTCCTTGGCCCGGCACCTGCGCTCTTTATGCACGTTCACGTGAGTGCCATTTTAGAGACCTGACTGAAAGCGGAGATGTTGTAGGCGGCGAGGCGAGGGGTAAGGTATACCCCA